TCCTAACGTTGGCTGGTGGGTAGACCCATGAAGCACTGGCTTGTTAGGAGAAACCAGCCCACACTCTGTAATGGACTGTGCAGAGGCCCAGACGGCGAACCCCCAGCCTCTGGGAACAGACCCCTCCCAGCCCAGGCCTTGGTGGCCTGGCCAGGCCCCCGGGTGGGAGAGGGGGCTGCACCGCGCAGGGTGAGCTCTCAGCATGGCATTGTCCCACACAAAGCTGGCTTCTTCACTGAGACCCGAAGCCGACTGAGGGGGACAGGATGCATCGCCTACCAAACTAAGGAAGGTGAGGGGAAGGGGGATGGGAAGAAGGATGGGTGGAAAAGTTGAAAGAGCTCACGCTGACCAAGACGCACTGTGCTCACCAACTGCCTTGGTGAATGGCAACTCCTTTGTACAACTACTTAAAGATTTTGTGTTGTTAGCAATGAGGCTTGAACTCAGGGCCTAAGCTGTTTTGTTCAAGACGAGCACTCTACCACTTTGAGCCACAGCACTACTTCCCATTTTCTGGTGGTTCATTGAAGGTAAGAGTCTCACAGACTTTCCTGCCCAGGTTGACCTCAAACTGCGATCCTCAGATCTCAACCTCCTGAGTAGCTAGGATGACAGACGTAAGCCACCAGCACCTGGCTTTTCTCCTCCTTTTTCTTCTTCCCCGCTCCTCCCCTCCCCTTTTGAAATGGGATATCACTATGTAGCGCAGTCCATCCAGTCCGGGCTGGCCTGGAACTCACAGCCCTGCCTCCATGTGGGATTGCAGTGCTATGACCTGGGATGGGTCTATGCACTGTACTCCCCACCCCCCACCCCGCCCTGCCTGCCCCCAGCAGCTGGGTGCCCACCAGCCTCCCTGGTCCCTCAGAGACGGCCAGGGAGGTGCTCTGATCCAGAGCCGCCTCTCACACGTGCAGGCTTTTTCATACAAAACCTTGGCCACATCGAATCACATAAACTGCCGATTTTGATTAGATTCTTCCTGGGCCAAGCTTTTTCTATGCGGTCTCCCAGCAGTGTCGGGCACGGTGTGTAATTATAGCATCTTTAGGAAGAGACTGTGCGAGGGCGCGGATGCAGCCTGTGGGGCTCGGACAGACGCCCTCAGCTGCCTGGCGAAGGGCAGGGATGGCTTCCGTCTTAGTCCCGTCCTGTGAGACTGTGAACACAGAGGTCTGTCGGCGTAGGAGGCTGGGAGCGTGGTGCCCACTCCGCTTCAGACGCTTCCAGGAACACCTCTTCTTAGGGGATTCCTAACAAAAAACACAACAAAAAAAGCTTTGTTTTTGCAATTAAAATGAAAAGCAATTTACTTTTTAGACTCTGTTTTGACCCATTTTAGGTTTCAGCAAGACAAAGAGCAAGGCAGCCAGGCGCTCTGTGCTTACGCCACGCCAGGCCACGCAGCCCGCACGGCCGTCCATGGGCGGTCCGCGCTAATGGCGGCGCCCACCCGAGGCCTTCATGCCCAGCCAGAGCGGACGCCGAGGCTCATTCTGTGAGGGCCGAGCACCACAGTGCACTGGTGGGACCAAGTCCCGGGCACCAAGGCTGAACAAGTCATTCCTTCCCTAGGGCTGAAGAGGGGAGACTCAGGGACAGGGGTAGAGAGGGGTAGGACGGGGGAGGGATGCTGCCAGGACAAAGGCATGGGCTGAGGAGGGCAGCGGGGCAGGGAGGCCCGCTGTGGCCGCCCCGAGAGCCGCCCGGCCACATCAGAGGGCCGCTGCCCTTGCCCGGGAGTCCTGTCCGGGGCGCCTGCATCCTTGGGCGAGTCAGCTGCCAGTGCTGGCGCGGCAGCCAGGCCGCTCTCTGCCTGTGTTCTGGTCATGGATTTCTGCCCTCCGTGGGGGTCAGGAGGGCACTCAACTGTCTTCCCAGAAGCGCTGAGAGCAGGCCTGTCCATCAGGGTGACCACACGGGGTCCCCGTCCCCTGTCACGAAGCCAGTGCTGCTGCAGGAACGGCAAAGTGACTGGGCTTTCATTTTTGTCTTGAAGTTTCAGAAAGGGCTGCCTGTTTTCCTGCCTCGGTGCGGAGACTGTCCAGTGGCCACAGGTGAACGAAACCACTCAGGCACGGGAAACCCACCCTGAGGGGCCGGCCCGGCACAGGGAATGCACATAAGACCCGAGAGAAACAACGGTGTGCAGGAGCGTCTCAGGACAGAAGGACAGGGCACAAAATGTGACGATGTGAAGATGCACGCTCCCCCGGGGGAGGGGATGAGCCGGAACCGCAGGGGCGGGAGATGCCGCGGCCAGGTGAGCTGCGGCCAGGTGAGCTGCGAGGACAAATCCGCCAGCCACGCTGCAGCTTTCTGTCCTTTAGAGAAATAAATTGGAAGTCTGAGAAGCAGCCCAACTATTCGTGGCATGGTAGTTTCTTCAGTTATGTTTAGGCTTCCTTTTGTTCTGTTCAATTTAAATGCTTTCTCTAAAGAACATCTATTGTATGAGCCCATTTCTGGAAAAAATTCCAGCCGCCTACCTGTCCTCTTCCCCAAGGATGGGCGGAGACACTTGTCTTCGCTGACATCCCCGGTGTCAGCTGTGACGGTTTCTGGGTGCTTGCTTGGTTTTAGAAACTTCCTTTTTGAGCTGGCCCCACCCGCCTCACAGGGCCTGGCAGAGGAGCTAGTCTAGAGGATGCCTCAGGATTATGCAGTTTCAAGCCCACGTAAGAGGGTGGTAGATGGTCAGGCCACGGGTCTGGGCTGTGCCTCCAGTCTGGGGAACATTCTGGCATGTTCGCTCATCTGTGCCCCCCATGACATCATGTTCGCCCTGCCTTGCTTTCCGCTTGCTGGGAGGGGGGGTGTCTGCCAGCCCGCAGGACAGGGGCCACTCACAGCTCTGTGGTAGGATCTGACTCAAAACACTGCTGCCAACCAAGTCCAAGGGCGGAGGCCTGGCTGTCTGGTTGATCCCAGGTCCTGAGAGCCACTCTCATAGTTGGGCTCTGGGCTCCATCTAGTGCCCACAAGGGGACACAGCCACACACAGCAGCTATTGCGAATCATAATTCCCATACTTGCACACAGGACAGCACTCATTAAACAAGCAGGACCAAAGCAAGATCCCTCTAGTGCATTCCTCCCAGAGTATATATTTGGTACTTCAATAATGCTAAGCATTTGTATATACCATCTTTGAAAGAACAACAGATTCATGCAACAAGTAATAGTTGAAAAAACAGGATAGTAGCTGGGCGCCAGTGGCTCACGCCTGTCATCCTAGCTACTCAGGAGGCTGAGATCTGAGGATCATAGTTCAAAGCCAGCCAGGGCACAAAAGTCCATGAGACTCCTATCTCCAATTAACCACCAGAAAACCGGAAGTGGCGCTGTGGTAGAGTACTTGCCTTGAGCTGAAGAGCTGAGGGACAGCACCCAGGCCCAGAGTTCAAGCCCCATGACTGACAAAAATAGATATAAATAAATAAAACGAAAAACCCAGGATCGTGGGGACTTACAGTGAATATGCTAGTACAGGCGTGGTCCCAGCCCCCAGTCCCAGGTCCCCCAGAAATCAGGGAAGGAGGGAGCGGTAAGAGCAGCAAAGGTGATGCCCACGCGCCCAGGGTCTGTGAAGGCCTGCAGAGGGGGGTGGAGTGGAGGCGGTGAGCTGAGCTGGGTGACAGGCCGGGGCAGAGGGCTGGACGAGGGGCCGGGGCCGGTGACAGGAAGCTAGACCAGGACACACATGGGAGACGGGGCCCAGAGTGCAGCAAAAGCCTTACTGGAGCCTAGGCCGGGCTCCAAAGGGAGGGGCCGGAGGGCTTCAGGGCAATGCTAGGAGAGCTGGGATGGAATCAGGCAGAGGGAGGTAGCAGAAGGCGGGAAGGGGAGAGGGCTGTGCAGGAAGCCCTCTTCTGAGAAAGGAGATAGTTTAAGAAGCTGGGCTTGAGGAAGGGGTCTGAAGCATATACAGGCTGGTGGAGATGGTGGAAATGAAGGCTTGTAGGGAGATCTGTGACCCCATGAAAAGTGAGACTCCAGGCTCACTGGAGGGGTGAGGGTGGGAGACAGGCAGGTGGACCTGGGCATGTTTGCATGAGACCAGCATGGAGGGAGCAGGAGAGGCAGGAGAAGCTACCGTGGCGGCTTGGAGTTGCTGATGAGAGAAGCCCGGCTACCTGGTGTGGTCCAGGAAGGTCTCAAGGGTAGCACCGAGGGGGCCGCTGGGCTTTTCCTGCAGAGAAAGACCAAGACACGGAAGCCATTACCAGGGTGGACCAGGCCAGGGAGGAGGAAAGGGCAGCTAAAAGGACAGGAGGAAAGACAAGGGGTGAATTCGCAGTGGGTGAGAGAATGGGGTGCAGGCAGCGGAGCAGACGGGGTGGGAGTGGGGATTAGCGAGTAGGCTCTGGGAGGGGCTGCAGCTGCGACCTCACCAGCTCGGGTAGGGCAGCAGGAGAGCGGAGCCCAGGAGTCACAGCTGCTTCCGAACAGAGAGGCTGGGGAGGAAAGGGTGGCAAAAGACTGAGCCACATCCTGGCTGCCCCCTGTCCCTGGCACACTGTCAAACAAACCATGATCCCTGCAAGGGTGGACAAGCGGGCTGGTGCAGGACCTGTCCCACCAGGGGCCAGAAACCGGTTACCTGCAGGCCAAACCAAGGAGAGGTCAAAGACCAAGGGCAAGCTGGACACCAGAGGCGCACGCCTGTAATCCTAGCTCCTAAGGAGGCTGAGATCTGAGGATTGCAGTTCAAAGCCAGTCTGGGCAGAAAAGTTCATGAGATTCATCTCCAATTAAACACCCAAAAGCCAGAAGGAGAGCTGTGGCTCAAGTGGAAGAGCTCTAGTCTTGAGCAAAAACTCAGGGACAGTGGCCAGGTCCCAAGACTAAGCCCCAGAATTGGCATGCATGGCGGCATACATGCGCACACACCACACACACACACACACACACACACACACACACACACACACGACCAAAGACAGCCCCTTCCCATTCATTCACCATCTGAGGTAGAAGAAAAACACCAAAAGCAATACAACTTATTGTGCTGCCTTTAATTACGAAAGATGTAAAATGATGTATTATAAAACTCGGAAGCTACTTTATACAAGTTCCAATCTTTAAATATTGTTTAGCAAGGGGCCCTGGGAGTTGGGACACTGGCGGGAAGTCTGTTAGCTTTTGTGACGGTCCCATCTGAGAAGCGACAGAATTGCACCCTGAACCACCTGTGCAGAAATCAGAAGGGCCATCAAGAGTCAGCAAGGGAAGTGAGTTCCAATCCAAGGACGGATTGGAGCTCCCTGCAGAGCAGCTCAGGGCATATGCAGCAGATCTGGGATTTCATGTGAGAGGAGGCAAGGAGGTAAAGGATGCCCCCCTCCAAGAGGAAGATGATGACGATGACGACGGTGTCCTAACACCCTACGTCCTGAAACCCACGCCATGGGAAAAGGAAAACTGGAGACAGGGTTTTAGTTCTATGCGGTTTAACTGCCAGTAACTGAATGTAGTCTGACCGATGTCTGGCTACAAAAGTTAGGTATTGGACACAGTGTTTGGAAGCTGAGGACCGAGACAGCTTGGTCAGAGCAGCAGCTGGTGCGGCTCACAGGGCGCGCTCTGCGGGGTGGCTGTCCAGACGGGTGGGCGGTGTCACCCGTTCAGACGGATGGGCCCAAGGACACCGCCTTCTCCCGCCCCCACCTGCAGACCCCCAACAGGCAGTGGTCCTGACACAATCGTCTCCAGACTAAGGCACTATGTAAAGGCGGGCTATGCTGGGACACCTTTACTTCAAAAACAGAACTATGCCAGCACCATTCCCTGCCTGAATGGCAGGCTGCAATTTCAAGGGGGCCTGTGACCCAGGAGTTGGCTTCCCATGGCACTCTGGGGCGCTGGATGGTATTATAGCCCCCCCAGGCCCTTTCCCTTTAGACCATCACCCACTCCCCGTGAGCTCTCCAGCACGGAGCTCCGCAGGCCTCGCGGGGAATGGTTGATTTCCTAATCCAACAGGAGAGCTGGGGGCAAACAGGAATGCCTGGGTTCCAGAGGGGGTGGCTGGAAGGGAAACGGAGGCCTGTGGGGAGGACGGGGCTGTGGCCGTGGCGGGCTCCAGAGGCCAGGCCCGGGTGTGGCAGCTTCCTCCCACATGGCCCTGAAGCCGGAGCAAGGCCAAGGGGTCTCCCCGGGGAAGGGCAGCAGCCATCCAGGCAAAGGTTCCAGCTTCTCCCCCTCCCTTCAGTATGCTCCCCACCTTCTCCTCTGCCTTCCACACCTGCTCCTCCCCGTGGTGTCCAGTGGGTGTCGCTATGTCTCCTGCTCCTCAGCGGGGGATCTGCTCAAGTTAGCTTATGGCTAAGGTCCACTATCCACTATCGAATCGTGTACCATCAACTTCCTCAACCTCAAAGCAGGAACCTCTGCTATTTAGAGCAAAACAGGGATCTGGGAAGAGCTTTGAGGTGCAGGCCTTGCTGTGCCTTCAGAAGACAACTTCCACTGCCTGCGGCAGCACAGCGGGAGAGCGGCGCCTGGGACGGCGCCCGGTGTTAGAAGTGACTGGCCCCGTGTGACAGGGGAGCGGCAGGGAAGGGTCAGCTACGGGTCAGACAGCCTGGCAGCACAGCAGGTCCCTTCACCCATCTGTTCCTTCATGCGCTCACGCACGCACGAGTGCATCCACCAGGCAGTGGCACAGCGCTTGGTCTGGGCCAGGCACTTGTTAGGGGCCAGGGGCTTGGCGAGGAGGCGGCGTAGCCCCTGCACGCCGGGGGCTTCCAGGCCAACGCCCCAGCTCAGAGACACCACTCTGTGGAGACCAGGGGCGCTCAGCTCTTGGGTCTGGCAGGACCCCCAGCAGCTCCCTCCCGCTGTGGCGGGGGGCAGGAAGGAGAAGATGCGTGCTTCTCTGGTTTGTGTGAGACACCTTCAGCCTCCTCTTCGTTCTCAGCCTTCAAGGAGCACCATGCTTTTCAGGCTTGTCTGCTCCTGCGGGGCTGTTTTCAGTGACTGAGCGAAGTCTTGCTTTCCTCCTGTTCAAAGGACAAGTGTATGGAAGCAGCAGCAGAGGGATTACAAACTGGGAGGAAGCAAGGAAGCCCTCGGCCTGCCTGGCTTGAGCCTGTCCCTGGACAGGCCAGGCGTCCTGTGTTTACTGAAGGCTGTGAGGGGCCATGGCTGGGGCTGGCCCGTGGGCGCCATGGTTAAGGCATCATGGTGTCGGGGTACCAGTGCTCGAAGACAAGCCTCCGTCCACAGCCTCCTCACCAGGCTGCACTTCAGTGGCTCTGAGCACCACGCAGCGCTGAAGAGGCCTCCGTGACCGGCATCTTGTGCGTCTGCACACCGGCCGGCCAGATGGCCGACAGGAAGGCAGAAGGGGCCGAGGGAGGCGCGCGCGGGCTCCCCGGAGCTCCCGAGCAGCCTGCCCGCCACAGGCCTGAGGCAGGACGGGGCCGAGTGTGGGACAGGTGACGGGTGCCTGAGATGGAGCCTGGGCTCAAAGCCTGGAGCCCGGGCTCGGGTCCTTCTGTGTGGAAATAACTAATGGCGGGATGTTTCCTGGCTCCGGTCTCTTCCCCTCTGCGTTGGCCGTTTCAAAACTTCCGTCCTGGCGCGTGTTGCTCACAGTCGGTCCGCTCGAAACGTGTCTTCCACGGAGGGGTCGAGCAGGCCCATGCTGGAGTCACTCAACATGCTGAGTCCATCCAGGCTCAGGGGCTCAATGTGGAGCTCCTCTTCCAATGGAAATGAAGTGTCCACGTTCAGGCTGACCTCAGGCATGCCTGCCAGAGCACTGCTGAGATCTTTGAACAGGCTGGTGCTGGAATCTTCTGAAAGGACAGAGTGATTAGGAGGTGTGAGCGTGGGGGCCTCAGGCTGCTGAGAACAGCCAGCGGCAATGCCTGCAGCCCGGGTGCTGTGTTCCGCCGGCCCGGAGCGCTGCAGCCAACCCCTGGCACACGGTGCTTGCCTGAATCAATATTGTTTTTCTTTTCAGTACTGGAGTTTGGGCTTCCTAGAGTACTAGGAAGGCACTCTACCACCTGAACCACACTCCCCAGACCTTTTGTGCTTTATTTTTTAGACAGGGCCTTACGTCTTTCCAAGGATGGTCTCGGGCTTCGATTCTCCTGTCTCTGCCTTCCCTAGCCGACATAACGGTGCATGCCAGTGTTCTCCTGCTCTCAGCCTCCTCAGCAGCTGGGATGGTAGGTATAAGCCTCATAACTGATACCTTCAAGCTTTGGGGCTTGAACTCAAGGTCTAGGCTCTGTCCCTGAGTCTCTCTGTGCTCAAGGTTAGTGTTCTACCACTTGAGCTACAGTGCCACTTCCAGGTTTTTCTGAAAACCTTATTGGAGGGCTGGGAAGGTGGCTCAGTGGTAGAGCGCTTGCCTTGCATGCCTGAGGCCCTGGGTTCGATTCCTCAGCACCACATAAGCAAAAAGAAAAAAGCCGGAAGTGGCTCTATGGCTCAAGTGGTAGAGCACTAGGCTTGAGCTGAAGAGTTGAGGGATAGCGCCCAGGCCCTGAGTTCAGGCCCCACAAGCGGACCCAAAATAAAAAAAAAGAAAAAAAAAGAAAAACTTAGGAGGTAAGAGTCTCAAGGACTTTCCTGCCCAGTCTGGCTTTGAACCCGTGATCCTCAGATCTCAGCCTCCTGAGGCGCTAGGAAGACAGGCGTGAGCCACTGGCGCCCGGCATGACTGACATTCTTCACAGTAGGTTCCAAAAGTTCCAACTTTTGCAGATTTTCTCCTTTGATATGATGGTTAAAAACCAAGACTAAAAACTCCAGAGGAGTTTTGACTGGCAGGCCCTCTTCCATCTCGTGGCTCCCAGAGCTGGGGGCCATGGCTCACATCTGTAATCCAAGCCACTTCAGAGGCTGAGATTGGGAGGCTAGCAGTTTGAGTCCAGCCTGAGCATACAGGTGAGATCCCTGCTCTCCTAAAAGCTGAGAGTGGTAGTGAGCACCTGTCATTCCGGCTACAGCGGGAAGAGAAAAACAGGACTGTGATTTAGGTGTGCACTTGAGCAGAAAGCAAGGTACTACTTCAAAAAGGCACCACTTTGTCTAACACTGTGTGTTGTTCAAAGGAACGTCATGGGAAATGGCCTCCCTCCTGAGTGGGGCCCTGAGGCGGGTGGTGCAGCCAGACTCACCCGTCAGGCCGGCATTGGGGAAGTCCCCGCAGCTGGAATACAGGTTTGGTCTCAGATGCATCGAGTCTTGTGGGTCTCGGGCGTCTTGCTGCAGGGACACCTGGAGGCACAGTGTCGTGTGTGAGGCGTGGGTCTGCTCCCGGGAGACGGGCCCTAGGCCCCCGGGAAGGCCAGACTCGGAGGCCACCCCCAGACCCCACGCTTCGGGGACCCCAGTGCGTCCTGCGGTGGTGATAGCAGGCGGATGTCCTGACAGAAGGTGGCCCTGGGTGAAGGAGGGGATCAGTGCGTGCAGCCTTCTCCGCCTCGCGAGGTGGGGGCCCTCAGAGGCTCGGGTGGTCACCGAGGGAGGGGTGGGCCCCTTTCCTCGCTGGTTTCTGGAAAAGGCGTGAGAGTTCTTGTTTGCTCTCCTCAGGCTGGTGCCACACTGAGAACGCCTCCATGAGCTGCTCCAGGCGCCTCGCCTCCAGCTCATCTTCCAAACCAGCCTCAAAGAAATGTCTCTGTGGGGCTGGGAAGGTGGCTCAGTGGGAGAGCGCTTGCCTTTCAGGCATGAGGCCCTGGGTTCCATTCCTCAGCACCACATAAGCAAAAAAGAAAAAAGCTGGAAGTGGCGCTGTGGCTCAAGTGGTAGAGGACTAGCCTTGAGCTGAAGAGCTGAGGGACAGCGCCCAGGCCCAGCGTTCAGGCCCCATGACGGAGACCCCCCCCCAAAATAAAAAAAGTCTCTGAGCCAGGTGCTGGCGGCTCACACCTGTCATCCTAGCTACTCAGGCTGAGGAACTTGGTTTGAAGCCCATCTGGGCAGAAAAGTCTGCAAGACTCTTATCTCCAATAAACTACTCAGAAAAAGCCAGAAGTGGAGCTGTGGCTCAACTGGCAGGGAGCTAACCTGAGAAAAAGAACCTCAGGGACATTGCCCAGGCCCTAAGTTCAAGACCCAGGAGTGGCAAAAAATGAAAAAAAAAAAAAAGGTAATAAAAATTTAGGCATTTCCATCACTTTCAGTCAAACATCGACTCTTGTCTAGACGGAAAAGGGCTCTGTGCAGCATGGTGAGTGAGCGTGGCGTGTGCAGAGGGGACGTGGAGCGTGGCTCAGCAGTCGAGCACCTCTGCGGCAGTGTGAGGCTCTGATCCCAGCACCGCACAAAAATTAAAAAGAAATGAAAAGCCCCAAAACCAGGGAGGCCAGGAGCCCTGCGCGGCTCCTCATGGTCTACGTGAGAATGTATTAAGTTCTGGGAACCACTCAACCTGCCTTTGCTCTTCAGTCTATCTTGAGCCTGAGCATACTAAATCTAGGAGTATTGAAAAGGGTCGGTGCTAGAAAGAAACAGCAAAACAAAACGAAGTAGCTGGCTGCAAATGGCTCAGGGAAGGACGCTCACCACCCCAGCAGTGCCAGCCTGGACCAAGCTGTCCCAGGAGGCCACACACCGCTGAACGCACCACAAGGCCTGCGGGCACAGCCCTGCCCTCCCCGAGCCCCAGCCCCTTCCAGTACTGACCGTGCTCCTGACCCACAGTCCTGCGAAGGCCTGGCCCTGAACAGGCACTGAGGCACAGAGCACGGAGACACTGGGAGGCGGGCAGCGGGCAATGGGTGTCTACACAGGGAACAGCCTCAATGGTGCAGTTTTATGGCAAGGAAGGGAAGGGCAGAGCCGGTTACACACCTGCTGAGGGAAGGCTGGGCCTGACCGGAGGGACTGTGGGTCAAAGCCTACGTCTGGGAAGAAGTTGGTCAAAGACGAGCCCTTCAGGGAAGAAGGAGATGACCATTTAGCTTGGAATTCTGAGCCACATAAGCCCTCCTCCTGACTAACGTCCCAGGAGGGGCTCACCTGGGATGGAAGGAGCTGGAAGGCCGTCTGTGGCAGGGCCTGCTGAGCAGAGGGATCCTGGGGACAAGGCTGCTGCAGGAGCGGCTGGGGCAGCTCCTGGGGCGTGGGGTAAGGAGGCGGGGGGGACACCTGGGCTTCTGTGGGCAGGAAGGAAAGCGGACTTCGCTCTGCGGACGCCATCTGTAACACAGCAACAGGGCCTCCAGGCTGTCACTAGAGAAGCCTGAGGCTTTTCTCACTGCTGGATGCCACGCCAGCCTGCACCCCCAAGCATCTCCAACCCACCGCCTCTGAAAGCGTTCCCCTTCAATAACCTTTCTGCTGTCTTAAAAAAAAAAACCCAAACAAGAACATAGCCGTTTTCCTCTCTATGTTCTCTGTGGAAATGATGGTTTGTTTGCATGTGAAGCCATGAACTCCTAGCGGGTATGGAAGACTGAAAAAGGCAGGAGCTGAGCAGCCTCCAAACCTGCACTAAAACAAGACACTAGAAGACTGAATAGCAATTTAATAAACCACACCAAAATAGCACAACCAACACTAAATGAGGACAGGGGATGGGAGCTGGCAGAGGTGATGTGACCTGCACCCCGGAATCTCTAAAGGGCTCTGGAGTGGCAACAGCAGGCAACATGGTGACTGGTCACAGCTGCGGGGGCCCTGGCCTCCCGGACAGCTGACTCCCGCCAGGAGATGGGAGCCTGGCCTCGGGGGAGAGGAAATGAAGTGAAGTAAGGCTCGCTGAGCCTAGAATAAGAGGCTTTCTACTAAACACCAAGGGCTTATGAGAATCTCAGAATCAGATCCTCACGCCTTTTTTTCCTGGTAGCCTTCAGCGAGTCAGGATGCAGGCATACCCCGGGCTCACGCAGATGTGTGTGCTTCATGGATCTGGGCACACAAGTAGAGAGAAAACTAATTTAGGGCAGGAGAGGTTTCCCAAGGGAAGGCACACTCAGCAAGCCAAGTACACCACTGCCAGTCGCTTGCCAGAGTCCTGCTCTGCAATATGAATGGAGACCAAAGACCACAGGGAATGCCTGACCAGACAGGGCCCACGCTGGACACAGGAAACACAGATCACGCGGGCAGGAGTAACCATGAGGAAATATACTTATCATAATGTTTAGGTTATTTTAAAAATCCTTAAGCCAGGCGGCTGTGGCTCACGCCTGTCATCCTAACTACTCAGCAGGCTGAGATCTAAGGATTGCAGTTCAAAGCCAGCCCAGGCAGGAAAGTTCATGAGACTCTTATTTCCAGTCAACCATCAGAAAACCTGAAGTGGCACTGTGGGTTAAGTGGTAGAGTGCTAGCCTTGAGCCGAAGAGCTGAGGAACAGCGCCCAGGCCCAGAGCTCAAGCCCCATGACCGACAAAAAATAAAAAATAAAAAAAAGTTATACAATTCCTCCCCTCCCCCCTAAAGGCAAGCTGCACGGTCAGTTGCCCGGGCAGTGATGGGAGAGTGACTAATGAGATCTGACCCCCTCCCACCATCCTAGGCCAGTACTCATTACGTGACTAGTGGTTAACGATGTTATAATATACCTAGGGTGTGACCGATAGATTAAAAATATATTCACAGGGGCTGGGCTGGGAAGGTGGCTCAGTGGTAGAGCGCTTGCCTTGCCTGAGGCCCTGGGTTCGATTCCTCAGCACCACATAAGCAAAAAGAAAAAAGCCAGATGTGGCACAGTGGCTCAAGTGGTAGAGCGCTAGCCTTGAGCTGAAGAGCTGAGGGACAGCGCCCAGGCCCAGAGTTCAAGCCCCACGACCAGACCAAACAATAAATAAATTAATTAAAAAATATATATATTCACAGATGATTATGGTAAGGAGAACTACCTTTAAGTGTTTAGAATAAAAACATAAGTTAAAACTGTACTTTCAACTTCGGTAATTCAGGAATAGGTATGTGGCTTGGACATGCGTCCCTCTTCCCTACCTTCCATCTTTCCCCTGGGGGGCTGGAGTGGACTTGCTGGGCAGGCCCCTCTACCATGTGAGCCACACCTCCAGCCCGTTTTGCTTTAGTGATTTTTTTCAGGCAAGGCCCGGCGTGTGTATGTGCTAGTGTGTGCTAGTGTGTGTGTGTGTGTGTGTGTGTGTGTTTTGTAAGGGGGACAGGAGGGCCTTACACTGTGATCCTCCTAATCTCTGCCTAAATAGACTTCTTTTAATCCTTTTATAGAGCTATAATCCTCGTGATAGTATGTCATGAACAATAGAAGTATTGCTTCTCAAATCTACTGTGGTAATTAGGCAAGAGAGCTAATGGACTATCAAAGCTTTGGAAAGGTACTATGCTTTTTGTTTTTTGGCTCTCTGCTGTGGCTTAATGTGTATAGAGTCAACAGGTAATTCTCCACACAAGTTTTGAAATTGTGACCTAGTTTCCTTCACTATCTTAGACAAATCTGCACTGTGTTCTCCATGTCCTACACTTGCAAACTGTTCAATATTTGCGTAGGAGTAGTAAACCCAGCAAGTCTGCCCGTAGACAATCAATCCTTTCTGTATCCTCACGCTCTCTTCTCTCACATCAGCTGTAAGGGAATGACTCCGCCAGCCACCGCCACATGTGCTGTAGCAACGGACCGAATCCAAAATAACCCCAAAAAAGGAAAGGCCAGCTGGGTTCTGCCTCAGCCTCTTCGCCCCTTTGGTTACCTGGGAGGTGGGGTGCGGGTTCAGCGGGCTGGTCGAAGAGAGCTGCCTGCTGAAACCTGGGTGCGCCTCGGGGCGGGGGGAGAGCGTGAGGGGGCTGACGGGGGGCTGCCGGCGCCGAGAGGGGCCGCTCAGGTTTGTGGTGGGAAGAGATGGGTTGCTAAGGGAAAAGAGACGGAGCGAGGGGTGGAGAGAGGAGGCACTGGCGACCGAGCTCTGCGCGTGGCTGCTCAGGGGCGAGGACGGGGCCATCTTGCTGAGCGTGGCCTGGATGGAAGGGTTACTCCGAGAACTCTGGAGACCTGGAAGACACCACGTTCACAAGTTACCTCTGTAGTTTCAGTCGCAACCTCTTGTTTTCCAAAGAGTAAGAAAACTTCTATCCTCATATGGGATGACAATATATGTGTGCAAAGAGCTTCTCTCTTACTCCAAGTGTCTCAGGTGTGTCAGTGACACAGAGAAGAGGAGCCACAGCGAGAGAGAAGATGCCAAGCAGCCGGCACGAGCAAGTGACAGTTACTGTCTCCCAGAGGGACTAGAGTATGTAAGAAAGGGCCGCACTGTACACTAGGCGACAGTCCTCAGCTCCACTGTTGGGAAAGGGGCCTAGCGCAGCAGAGCCCTCCACACACCTGTCCCAGGCTCGCTGCCCGAGTCGTCTGCTGCCTTTAAACAGCCTCAGTCAGAGCTGTGGCTCTCACACAGCCTTTAAATACCCTCAGCACTCAGAAAGTCCGAGGGGGGGCCGTGAGCCCTGCTCAAGTCCCACGTCAGGGTTCCTCTCTCTTTTCAACTCCTGTATTCCAACTCAGGGGAAAGGAAGGTTTGGCTGCTCCTTTATCTTCTGCATGGAGGAGACCGCTCTGGACAGGCATTTCCATAGCACAGGCTGCTGGGAAGAAGCTCTATGGAGCTGGGGACCCCGCCCCATGCCTGGCTGGATCCTGGCCCTCGGCACGAGGCCTGGCCTAGAGCAGACTCACGGGGGCAGCACTGCTGCCTCTGTGTGGACTTTGGCTTGCAACAGCCAGATTGCAAGTCCAAAGTGTCCGTCTTGTGCCAGCGGGGGAGGGACACAGCTGTGTGCGCGTGCGCTACATTCTGACAAAACATGAAGCCTCGTGGACACCGGGGCCCGCGTGGTCTTCACCGCAGGGGGACGGGGGAAGGCCTCTCGAGGGCAGGGGCTACTCACCGGGGGAGCTCCGTATCCCCAGGTGGGTCATCGCGGCTGGGAGGCTCCCCACGCTGCTCCCCACGCTCATGCCGCCAAAGAGGTGGTCACTGGTGTCCAGGGAGGCGGGCAGAGGCGCCGAGTAGTGGAGGTTGGTGAGGTCGGGCAGCGACCCCCCAGTGTTCAGGGTCCCCAGAAACGGGGAGAGGCCTACGTTTTGACCATTGTGTGGGAAAACACTGAAAGAAAGCAAGGCAACCATCACCTTCCACAGTGCGTTTAGTCTTCGGGCAATAGTCACACATGACACTTCTTTCTTTCTCTGTTTTGTTTCTTTTTGTGCTGGTATTGGGGCTTGAACTCAAGGCCTTGGTGCTGTCCCTTAGAGCTTTTCCACTCAAGGCTAGCTCCAATCTGGCCTTTTCTGGTTAAATGGCGTTTTCCTCCCAGACTAGCTTTGAATTGCAGTCCTCAGCAGACCCCAGCCTCCTGAGTAGCTAGCATTACAGGAGTGAATATTTTTCTTATCAAAGAGAGACTATCTCTCCCTTGACTGAGAATATGAGTGGCTGGCTTAGTTACTCCAAAATGCAACCTCCCTACCTATAAATTAGACCTGACTGTATAGTAACAATTTCAAGATCAGATTAGGTTATAGATAAAAAGTACTTTGCCAATTATAAGCCATTATATAAACAGTGAGGCACTACTTTGTATTTACATTTATATTTAGACAGTTCTTTGGTGGGTTTCTAAATCTACTATCTTGGCCCATAGGTCCTGTAAAATGTGAACTTGTACTGGGTCAGATCACGCAAGGCTCTCATTTTCTTTTTCTAAAGAAAAAAATTTCTTAGTGGTCCTGGGGTTTGAATCCAGGACCTCATACTTCTAGGCAAGAGCTTCACCACTTGAGCCATGCTCCCAGTCCTTTTAAAAGTCCTATTTTCTTTAAAAAAATTTTTTTTTTTTTGCTGGTCGTAGGGCTTGAACTCTGGGCCTGAGCGCTGTCCCTCAGCTCTTCAGCTCAAGGCAAGTGCTCTACCACTTGAGCTACAGCACCACGTCCAGTTTTCTAGTGGTTTATTGGAGATAAGAGTTTCATGGAATTTTCTGCCCAAGCTGGCTTTGAACCGCGATCCTCAGATCTCAGCCTCCTGAGTAGCTAGGATTAGAGGCGTGAGCTACCGGCGCCCAGCTTTTTAAAAAAATCTGGGGGCTGGGAAGGTGGCTCAGTGGTAGAGCGCTTGCCTTGCATGTATGAGGCCCTGGGTTCGATTCCTCAGCACCACATAAGCAAAAAGAAAAAAGCCGGAAGTGGCGCTGTGGCTCAAGTGGTGGAGCGCTAGCCTTGAGCTAAAGAGCTGAGAGACAGCACCCAGGCCCAGAATTCAAGCACCACGACCGGCAAAAAAATAAATAAATAAATAAATAATAAAAAAATCTGTAAGTAATTGTACAAAAGAAAAAAAAAGGACATTTCCTGTCAGGAGAAACTTGGGCAGAAAACTGTTACTTACTTGCTGCCTCCGACATCACAGGATCGAGGGCGCCCTGACAAGGACTGAACCTGGAAAGAGAAAAATAAAGCCGGGAGACCAAATCAACGTTCAGGAAAGGTCTTGCAGGACATCTTGGAGCTGCAGTCGGTGCAGGAGAGACCACGTATGCCAGCAGTCGGTGCAGAAGAGACCACCACCAGCCAATAAATCTGACTAAGCTTTTTAAATCCTTAAGCTTCCAGCCATAAGGGCTAAAATATATGTGTGTGTATATACATACGTACATTTGTACACACATATACACAAATACAATACGTGGTACAGAGGTTTGAACTCAGGGTCCTCAATTTAAGCATTCTACCACTTAAGTCACACCTCAAACCCTTTGTTCTTTGAGACTGAGTCTTACTCTATAGTAAAGCTGGCCTCAAACACAATGCTCCTGCCTTGGCAGGAGCTCTTGGATTATAGAAGTGCACCATCACACTCACTCTTTTTAAGTTTGATGCCTTTTGTTTATATCCTAAAAAATGATTTCCCTCAAAAATGTCAGTGTTCTACATATATTGCTTTTAAACACACATTCTTTTTTCAATTGACCTGAGAGGAAAAGAAGAAATAGAAAAGCAAAACAAGGCAGAGAAAGAGGAAACAAGCCGGGCGCTGGTGGCTCATGCCTGTAATCCTAGCTACTCAGGAGGCTGAGATCTGAGGATTGTGGTTCGAGGCCAGCCTGGGCAGGAAAGACTATGAGACTCCTATCTCCAATAAACCACCAGAAAACTGGAAGTGGCGCTGTGGCTCAAGTGGTAGAGTGCTAGCCTTGAGCTGGAGAGCTGAGGGACAGTGCCCAGGCCCAGAGTTCAAGCCCCACAACTGACAAAAAAAAAAAAAAAGAAAGAAAGAAAGAAAAAAGAAAGAGGAAACAAATGTCAAAGAAAATAAATTAATCAACCAGAATATAAGCTTGAGTGGGGAGAATACACATCCCCAAGAGCCGGGGGAGCTGAAATGCTATTCCAAATGGAGCAGCCCAAGAGCAGGACAGCCTGACACTCCATCTCAACCAACGGATGAGTGCAGGGGCACGTGCCTGTCATCCCAGCTATGGGACAAGCACAAATACGAGGACTGCTGTCCAGGCCAGCCCAGGCACAAAGCAAACCCTATTACAAAATAACCAATGCAGCCAGGCGCTAGCTACTCAGAGGACTGAGATCTGGAGCATAAGAGGTCTGCAAATTCCAAGAGTCTTCATCTACAATTAACCAGTAGAAAATCTAGGCCAGAGGTATGCCTCAAATGGTATAGCACCAGCCAGGCAAGCAAGTTGAGGGAGCACAACACACTGGGTTCAAACCCTAGCACTGCAAATAATAGTAATAATAATAATAGTAAGTGATGATGATGATGATGATGACGGAACAGCGCAAAAAGGAATGGGGTATGGGTGTGGCTCACGTGATGGCGCATCTGCCTAACAAGCACAAGGCCCAAACTTCAAACCTCACTGCAACCAAAACCAAAATAAGCCCAAACCACCAAAAAACCCAGTGGTTCTGCCACGCTCCCGATGATGCGGGCACGGCTCAGGGCCGCTCACCCACCTCCTTGGTCTCCCACAGCTGCTTCGGCAGTGGCTTCGGAACTGTTAACAGATTGTCTTCTTTCAAAGGACCAGGGAAAGACGCCACTAGAGGAGAAAAAGCAGCATTCATTGCATCAGAAGGCAGCCATCCCACCTTTGGGCAAATGATCTTGGCTAAAAAAAAAAAAGGTTCCTAAGCTGGGCACTGGTGGCTCACGCCTGAAATCCTAGCTACTCAGGAGGCTGAGATCTGAGGATCGAGGTTCAAAGCCAGCCCGGGCAGGAGAGACCGTGAGACTCCTATCTCCAATAAACCACCAGAAAACCGGAAGTGGCGCTGTAGCTCAAGTGGTAGAGCGCTCGCCTTGAGCTGAAGAGCTGAGGGACAGCGCCCAGGCCCAGAGTTCAAGCCCCACGACCGACAGAAAAAAAAAAAAAAGGCTCCTTTAGCTAACATCTGTGGCGGTGTGGTGGGGGAAGCGGGGCAGCGCCCAGGCTGCAGAGTGAGTCAGACACGGCCTCCACCTCGATGAGGATGACACACAAACAACATCTCCAACAGACAAAGCACCAGAAGCCAAGAGCGCACGGGTACACTGCAGCCACAGCGCAGAGCAGCACCAACCGCAGGGAGGCTCTGGAGCTGGAGGCTCAGGACCCCCTTCGCTGACAGAAAGCGCACCCCTAGAGTGGAGGACATGCAGCGGCTTAGAGGCACACCTGGGCAGCGGCCAGGCAGACCAGCTCTTCCGCTGTGTGCGAGTGAGGCAACGGGAACTGGCTGGAGCA